GCACTGCGTTCACGTCGGGAGAAGCGTGCTTCCGTAGCGCAGTAGGCAGCGCGTCAGTCTCATAATCTGAAGGTCGTGAGTTCGAGCCTCATCGGGAGCAACTGTTTTGTACGGTGTTTTCTATTTTGCCGCGATGTGGAGTTTTTCTTTTTAAGTATGCAGCACCTGTAGCAATGAGCTCCAAGTCTAACGAACACTGGTCTGTGGCCGACATAAAGCCCCGTCTTTCGCACCACTGCGTTCACGTCGAGAGAAGCGTGCTCCCGTAGCACGGTAGGCAGCGCGTCTGTCTCATAATCTGAAGGTCGTGAGTTCGAGCCTCACCGGGAGCAACTGTTTTGCACGGTGTTTTCTATTTTGACGCGATGTGGAGTTTTTCTTTTTAAGCATGCAACACTTGTGGCAAAGAACCGCGGCAATGAAGATGATCAGAAGTCTAACGAGCACTGGCCTGTGGCCGGCATAAAGCGCCGTCATTCGCTGAACTGCGTTCACGTCGAGAGAAGCGTGCTCCCGTAGCACGGTAGGCAGCGCGTCTGTCTCATAATCTGGAGGTCGTGAGTTCGAGCCTTTCCTGCGGCAACTGTTTTGCACGGTGTTTTCTGTTTTGCCGCGACGCGGAGCTTTGCCGTAACAGTGTGTTCTCTGTGGCATCGTCAATCTCATCACTGTGCTCACGTCCCAAGAAGTGGCGAAACAGAAAACACCATCGAAAACATGTGATTTCTCGACATGATCACAGTGCTAAAAACTACATAGTTTCCAAGGTGCTTCAGAGCACGAGTGTACGTCTGGTTTGTAGGCACCTGCAAGTGTAGATATAAAACCGAAATTCCGTGTTGTGGCGAAAACAGAAAACGCCATATAAAAAACAGTTGTTCGAATGAAGCGACCACCAAGGTTTGTGTGCTGGTATGGCAACACCTTTACACTAATGGTCTTATATCTTGTTAGTAAAGAACTTATAGAGCTTAAAAAGAGCTTGTACTCACTTTTAAGAAACGTAGAAGGGAGTAACAGGATGGGACGACTTTAGCGTGAAATGTTGGGAAATGAAAATGTAGAGTTTATCACCCTATTCTTCTTCTGTTGGGCACAGAAGGAGAATAGGGTGATAAACTCTACATTTTTAAGCGTTTCGTACGAAGTGTTTACAGAAAAAAAGTAGGATGATGTACAAAGTGTTCGCATTTACCCATTTATGGTGTCAATACTGCTCGTGTATGGGCAGTCGTAAGATTATCTTCGCTTAGCCGTGTAACAGAGTGACTGAAGGTTTCGTTCCCCTGTTCCGAATGTAGCGGTCTCTGTGCTACGCCATTTAATCGAAATGACATTACTTTTGAGTGACAGCGATCTCCTTCTTTTCCCACGATCGCTGTTTGGCCGCGCTCTAATTAAGCTTTTCTTCCGGCTTGCACAGTGTCGTAGTCACGAAATTGAGTTTCTTCTGTGTTCCTGCAACCTTCGGTTCAACATTTGTCCATGACTAGCTTAATTTTTCCTTTCCTTAGTAGTACTAAGTTTTCTGACGTTTCGTTCGGAAGTTCAGAGGTGGAATCTTTGTTGAAAGTGGGTTGAAGCTCCCCACCGCTTCTGTTCATATTTGCCGCAAGTCCGAAATCAGTTTTCCGCCTCTATTCCTTCACAAATACACTTCTATTTTAAACGAAGCAGAAATTTTGCTTCAGAAGGGGTTTTTGGAAGTATCGTCAAAATTATTCAGAAAAGTTACTCCCTTCCTATACAGTGCAGCTCTAGCTTCTCATAGAGAAAGATGAAAACGGAAATCAGCGTTCTTCTTCAGGTCAAATATGCCCTCAAATCTTTATATTTGGAGTATACCAGTAAAAAGTGACCCTATCGTGAAAGAGTCATAGGTTATTGCACCCCAACATTAGTGCGAAGCGGAACGAAGTAGTTTGTGTCAGAGACAACCTACCATGAAAGCTATCTGGGGTTGTGTTCTTCGTCGCGAAAATATGCGGCGAATTCGCTTTTGAGTGCTTGTATGATTAAAATCCAGCCAGAATTTG